TATCATTCGATAACAATGCAGGTGTTCAGGACTAGCACATGTGGTCACGCTCACGATACAGGATTGCGACGTATTTATCTTTGATTATAAAATCTTCAAAGGTATTTAATTTAATGATCAAAATTACGGTTTAGGATGTCTACGTACACCACGCCATTGTAATCCAAATTAAATTTTGAATATTTTTTACAAAAAAGGACCATCAGATATATCGAAAGTCAAAATAGCTATTTGCGATTGCATTTTTGAATTTTGTTAGAGCTAAATTGTATAATCTGTGGTATTACTTAACGTGGTTAGGACGTATACAGGTACACACATTACGGTATTAAAAAACCGAAAATTTACCTTATTAGATCTTGTGTACGAAAAACCATTAGCCAAAAACGAGACAACGCACAGCACTTCACTATTTCTCTGCAACTACCAACTGCCAAACTGGCATCGCAAGGTAACAACGACGCGATATCAGGTGATAGGTCAGTGGTTTCTCCCCGATGTCATTATTACCGATAACCAAAAACGAAAATCTTTTCAAATTAAAGCGGCTGCTGACTAATCGTTTTACTACGCGACATATTTGTAAGTTTATTTTTCAATTTTGATCTCAACGAAACTTCCCGAAGATTGCACGATTCCGAGTTTTAAATAATAGCCACACGGGGAACGTTACCCTGCCATTTTTATGCCCACACTTTGTTACATTAAACGGGATGCCCAGTTCCTCACCTATTTTATTTCAATTTTGTAATTTTGGAGTAGTTTTTATGTACACTATACAGCCAATTAGATTAGTTTTTGAGTTATAGGATCCTTTGCGATACTTTTGACGCCCTTTATAGCAAAATAAAATTCCTTTTTTTTCAAAATCGTATTTGGAAATTGATGCAGCCTTTATGCATACGTTGTGGGGAACCCTTCAGGTAGATAGGTGTCAAGCCCCTAAAAATATTTAAACATGGCCATTGAAAGCATTTCTTGTTGACTCAATTAGTATCGAAATTAAAAGAAAGCAAGCAAGTCACCTAGCTGATCTTCCCCCAATCGCTCTATTTTAAAATTATGCTTTTCAAAATATCCATAACACTCATACTTGAATACTATTCCACCTTGGATTAAAATTGTACAGGCTTGGTGAATAACATTTTTCGATTATATTTATCAGCCGAACACAAGCGCCAAATTTGGCATGAAGCTTCTCGAGACCCTAACCAACATTTGTTATAGGGTTACCATCTTCTAGCGGTTGGTGGTGACCTTTTTTATAAGGGATGGAACCCATTACATTTTTTTCAGAAACTCTCAGGGGTTCGAAGCCTTATAACAAGAGTTCCCACTGACCCCTCACAGTGGTAACTCTTCAAAAAGGGTTTGTTAGGGTCCCGGGACGCTTCACACATAATTTGGTGCTGATATCCTGCTAGTTAATATCGACATCACTATTTGTGCGCTGCATTGTTCCACATCTATTTCGGAACTTAACTAGTTCCATTATCAAGTAATTACATAGAGAAGTGAAAAGCTAAAAAATTACAAAAACATACAATCAAGTCGTGAAACTGGATAACTTACTTAACGAGGAAAAGAATATTTTTTTAAAAAACTTAAGAGAATAAGTATAACCTAATAGCATCTCGTATATATTTTTTTTAACTTAAAAGGGGATCACATCTAGGGCATTGTGATTAATTAATTGAAAATTAAAACGTGATTGTGTGAAAAGAATGGGGTTATAGGCAACAAGATAAAAATTAATAAGGTGACCAACTTAGATTTACCAACTATAAGAGAACACTAAACTTTAATACAGATCAAGTCAGAAGGAGAATCTACCAATTCGATGACAAATCCTGGGTCGGGTTTGTATTTATTGATCACTAAAATTCCCAACATATTAAAAAATTTGGTTAAGCCGCTTGTGAGCAAGTGACGAAGATTGCATTTTCAAATTTAATTTTTTTGATTTGAATAGTCCTTATGGACATTTCATGCCTTAACGAGAATACAAATATGAAATAATTTTTAATTTCTGATCGAATGACACCAATACCAAGCTGTAAGTGGTGTAGTTCCCGAGCCTTTGGGACTCAGACAGACAGACGGGCATCAAGAGCGCAAAAGTGCACTTTTTATTTTTTTAAACTGAAACTGCACTAAAAATGACCTTTGTTGGAATTGTGAAGAATATCATAGTCCGTATTGGTGCGGAACTGATGACCAGAGGAAAGAATGTGTTCTGCGAGATCTGATTTATGCAAATTCCGATTGTTTTGGGATATGAATTTAACGTGTTCTTTAAAACGAGCGGAAAAAGGGAGTCCGGTTTGACCGTTTTCCAGTCGTTTTATGGAACATGTTAAATCCATACCTAACAATTTAAATTCTAATAAATCAGCTTTCACAGAACACATTTTTTCCTCGGGTCATTACTTCCACATTAATACGGACTATGAATTCACATTTACATCAAAGGTCATTTTCGAAATATGTTGGAAATTTTTGAAATCAATAAATATACAAACACTACCTATGATCTAGTTTCTCAAGTTTTTTTTCCTCTTTAGGTAAGTTTATCCATTTCACCCCTTAATTGTAAGTTGTATAATTTTTTAGAATTTACTTCTCTATGTAGTTACAGGATAATGGATCTAGTTAAGCTTGGAAACATGTCGTAATCACTTCAAACTCTAACATTTTTCCATATAATGTGCTTTTGGGAAGATCAGGAAGTTGTTATTCATTACATTTTACCCCATTCCGGACCCGAACCTACAAATTTTACTTAACTTAAAAGTAGCGTAAAAACACAGTCAGGACAAAAATTAATTAATTTAATTAATTATTAAATTAAAGGACAAAAATGTACCGATATATTATGCAAGCCCCAATGGCCAATTCCTTTTCTTTCCGGTTAGAGAATTAGGAAAATGAAAAGTATTACGAACACTTTCTTCTCCACAAAGTGTTTTACCCCTAACATTTTTAAGGACATTATAGAATTACGGTTATAAATCATAATGTGCAGGCTCGCGCGTCACCACTTTTATGTGATTCCTCAAATAAGCAATTTAGTGCCAAAAACGCTTAAATAGGGCTTATCTGTATTTAACACTGCATGAACGTTTTATCATTCGGGGTTGCATAAGGCGATTTGTACCTATCTATATCGATTTAACAATTTGTAGCAAAAAAATATCTAGGAAAAAAGCTTATCCATTCCTCAAAGTTTTTGGAACAACCCTGTATAAGAAACACGGCCATTCATGGTACCTACTCACAAAAAGAATGTCGTTGATAAATTACTACAATTCATTTCAAATGAATAAAATTATGATTATTTTTGAAGCATTGTTTTATCATTCGATAACAATGCAGGTGTTCAGGACTAGCACATGTGGTCACGCTCACGATACACAATTTCGACGTATTTATTTTGATTATAAAATCTTAAAATTTAGTTTAATATTTTGATCCAATTTACCTTTTAGGATGTCTACGTACACCACGTAGTTTTTAAAACAACCCTGTATAAGAGACGTGTCCGTCCATTAATGGTTGATACATACCTACTCACGAAAAAAGAATCTCGTTAACAAACTTCTAGGATTTATTTCAAATGAAGGAACATTATAGAATTACGATTATAAATTAAAGTGTGCAGGCTCGTCGTCGCCATTTTTATATGAATCCTCAAATAAGCAAATTAGTCCCAAAAACACTTACCTAGGGCTTATCTGTATTTAATATAGTAAGAACGTCTTATCATTCGGGATTGTATAAAGCGATGTATACCTATCAATGTCGATTTAACAGTTTGTGGAACAAAGCTTCTTTAATTACACGAGCCATTCCTCGAAGTTTTGAAACAACCCTGTATAAGAGACACTGCCATTAATGGTACTGACAAAAAAGAATATCGTTAACAAATTTCTACAATTTATTTCAAATGAATCAAATTAAGATTATTTTGGAAGCATTGTTTTATACATTCATTCGATAACAATGCAGGTGTTCAGGACTAGCACATGTGGCCACGATACAGAATTGCGACGTATTTATCTTTGATTATAAAATCTCCAATGGTATTTAGTTTAATATTGTGATCGAAATTACGTTTTTGGATGTTTAAACACAACGCCATTGAAATCCAAATCCAATTTATAATATTTTTTACAAAGAACCATCGGATCTATGGAAAATCAAAAAGGGATTTGCGATTGCGTTTTTGAATTTTGTTATATCTTGTATATTGTATTAACATGATTAGTACGTATATAGGTATACACATTAAACTATTAAAAAAAACGAAAATTTACCTTATTAGATCTGGTACACGAAAAGTCAAAAGCGAGACGACGCACTACACTTCACTATTTCTCTGCGACTCCCTACTGCCAAACTGGCATCGCAAGGTAACAGCGACGCGATAACAGGTGATTGGTCAGTGGTTTCTCCCCGACGCCGACGTCATTATTACCGATACCCGACTACGAAAATCTTTTCAAATTAAAGCAACTATTGACTAATCTTTTACTACGTGACACGTAGTCCTATTTATTTTTCAAAATCAATTATATTGATCTCAACGAAACTTCCCGAAGTTTGCATAATTCCGAGTTCTAAAAAATATCCACACGGGAATGTTACATTGTAAACCTTGCCTTTTTCGTGCCCAACTTTGTTACGGGATGCCCCAGTTCTGTAACTATTTTATTTCAATATTATAATTTTGGAGTACCTAATTTTACTTGTGGTGGGTCATTTTTAACCCCAATGCAACACCTCTCTCACTAACGTGCGGGTGGTAAAAAAAGTAAAACATTCCAGTCATTTTGAGACCAATTTGTTTCAAATTCGATATGGTGTTGAAAAGATGAAAAGTGTTCTGATCTGGTTTTTCAGTAAGTGAAACGCTTTAGTCACAATTATTCTGTTAAGTTACTTTTTATGACCATTGGGTCAGGGGCTAAATGTAAGGTAAACAATAATATCTGTGCATTTATTTTTGATAAAAAAATACATAAATAGCAAAACGTCGTCCGTGACGACAACAGTACAGCTGCTGACGCTAAGCATTTTCTGACCAATGTTCCCATGTCTTAATAATGTTGAATAATGCTTTCCCTGGACTTGTAGTTGGCAGTATCTGTCTTATAGCCAGGAGCTTATAGTTGGGAGATATAGCATTTAACTTTAAACCAATCTTGATAAGTTCCTGGGCTGCTTGTAATTGATGCAGTGGTGGTGATTTCTCCTCAAAATTGCCAACAAATGCGATTCCAATACTCTTTGCGTTGGACCCAGTCACTTGTGAACCTACGCTGTACCATCCCCTTCCTTCGTAAGCGTTACCATCACCTCCAACGAGGAAACTATATCCGATGTCGCTCCACCCCTTTCCCTGCATATGAAATTGTTGTAGACCCCTGATTACACCTGCACAGGTGTTTTCCGTCGAACAAGACGGACTACCTGTATGTATTATGAATACATAAGCGACGGGTAATTTGAGCGCCATGACTCCCGCTTTAGCCGTTTCGGCCAGCCACTTCTTTCGCGAAATCAAGCGGAATTCCGTAGTTGCGGTAGAGACTTCAGTAGTACCTGAATAAGGAACAAAGCTAATAATATAAATTATTATATACTTTTGCGTTTACACTCGTCATTCTCAAAATTGGCCAGTGTGTGTGTTGTGACATTTGACTACTTTGGGTACCGCATACATATTAATACTTACTTGCGGGGCAACTTGTGCTATTTTCCTCATCGCTATCCTCAGGGGAGGTTTTCTGTGCAATTAGCAACACAACCCAAAACGCCATTAGTGACAGTAGTAGTACTGCTGTCAAGAACAGGATTGCGATAATATGTTGGCGAATAAATCTCTGGAACCAGTGCGCACCTTAAAATTGTGTATAGAAACGTCAATTTAAAGAGTAACCCTCACCTTTTTGTTGCGGAGATCGATTGTCAACACTCTCATCAATCTTTGCCTCCCCGTTTGATATAGGTGTAACTTGATTTATTGTTAGGGGTTTTCTATAATAGCTTTCATTTCCAAGATTGATGTCGCTAGAGTTGGGTACCTCGACGTTACCATAAACCGGTAGGTCATGCGAAACATCTTGGGACGATACAACCTGGGTACATTGACTGCATTCCGTTGAAGGATTTGGCGGTCCTAATGGTAAGCGTTTCTTTATCCCTCTTAAACGTGAACTGATATTCCCGCATATCATACTGCTGACTATTCAGGGAATTGTTGGACAATAAGCCATACTGTTGGGATTAGCGTACATATATAGCGGGTAAGCCGAGTAATCTGATATTAAATAATTATCTCGTGCATTTATCCGTTCTTCAGAAGCCCTTCTGTTAAATTTACTAGTTAGTAATTTCTATGGAAAAGTACTTATTGAGACTGTAAGTGAACTGTCGGGAAAACTAAACCAACAGTGTAAAGGTGATCCTCGGTTGGATAAATCAACAAATACAAAACTTCTGTGCATGTTACGTATGAGTCTCAAACATATCAAATATCCTATGTATCTCAAATAGCGACGAACTTTTGTTTCCTTTTTGGCACTTTCAAAAATGTATAGCTTTTATGACTAATCGGACGTTATTAGGCAAAAGTCCCAAAAAAATCATAATGCCTTACCATTGACAATCACCTCAATGTTGACAATGCCCTTGCCAAGCGCCTTCATTGATTGGCGATTTCCGCCTTGAACGTACTTTTCTGGCAAAAACACCTCAAAAGTAGAAAACCAATTACGGTTCATGGTCATGTGCTGCTTTGCCCCGAAACTGCAATTCAAACATTGGAGGACCAAGCAGGGGTTTGTAGGACTTATTTTTACTGGCAAAATAGGCAGCATCTTCAATTGAACTATTTGAGAAGCTTCTATCTTCTATCTTTCCTTGCTAGTCGTAGACATATTTATCAATTGTCTCACCTTGGGTTTTGAGCTTTTTACAGTAGCCTAAAACCGCTAGACCTGAAAATCAGTCAATTGAATTTGTATCACCAACACTCTAATAAACTAAAGGCGTCATGCTTCGATTAAATGTGTACGTAATTTTATTTTTATATTAAGAGCTCGACTTATCTATGAGATAAACTCTTTATTTACTGCAATATTGATTAATAACTTTTAATTAGCGTTAAACGTAGCCTCAAAGAAGCGATTTAGTTTGTGCTCTGTTTAAGCATGAGCAAACTTGCATCGGTAGCTTCATCAACCTCAGTCAGTGACTCTGAGGAGGAACAAGATACTATCTGCAATCAGTTGTACGAGATTTCGGAAGATCAGCCGACCTATGGTAACATCTCTGTAGCTGGCTCCAGTGACGTGCATCTCGGAAGTAGAACGTTTTATCAGGGGTCTGTGACGATAAATCAAGTTCTTTACGAAAACCTCAAAAATTCGCAGCGGGATGTTACATCGGTTACTAATGTGACATCAGGTAATGGCAATGAGGAGTTTGTACCGGATCAGGTTGGTGAAGTAAACGATGGCAATGATCCGGGGAACATAATTCAAAAGGAAACTCTAAGGACAAAAGGTGAAATCTAAGCACGATTTTTTTAATTAATACGTAAATATCCTGAAGGTACGCGATGGCTACGCAGTTCTAGTACCATACAAGTTTTACGCATCTCTTTCTTGGCGACAGTACCGGTGCTAACATTGGTCATACTATTGGTGATGTTATTGACCAAGAATCAGTCACCAGTCCAATTTGATTATTCTACTGAGTTACCCGTAGGTATGTACCTTACCTTTTGTGACTACCTACACTACAAACTTACTTCAGATTCCCCAACATGGAAGCTTCGTGTAGTTTCCCGAAAGGAATGGTCGGCTCAAACAGCAAAAGAAGTGGTACCATTGAAGTTACCTGTTCGTTACGTGATAATAATGCACACAGGAAGCCAGTTTTGTTCAGACGAAGAAAGGTGCAAGGAAATTGTGCGCAGAATACAAATATCTCATGTTGAAAGCAAAGGTCGGAGTGACATTGGATATAGCTTCCTCGTTGGAGGAGATGGAAATGCTTACGAAGGACGAGGATGGTTCAGTGTAGGTTCACAAGTGGCTAAATTCGATGATATCTGTATTGGAATCGCATTTATTGGAACTTTCGATGTGGAGTCGCCGCCGTACGAACAGTTGCGAGCTGCTCAGGAACTTATTAAGATGGGTGTAAATTTAGGTGCAATTTCTCCCGATTATAGTATTTACACTGAAAGACAATTACGGCTCACAAACAGTCCTGGAGAAGCTCTATACAATATTGTTAAAACGTGGGACTATTTTTCACCTATTATAATGGCACAGTCCTCACATTAGTGGATAAGTAGTACATTAGCCATCTTGTCAAAAAAGTCGGACAAACGCGGCACTGTACTGCCAAAATTGCAGCACCTCATAAAATAATCGGGATCGACAACCTAAAATTCTTCCAATGAAGATAGAAATAATATTCATCTTTGTATTATGGAACAATGAAAAAATATATAAATATCGAAAGTCGCTGCAAACTATGCTGATCTGATTAGTACTTACTTTATCCTTGTTTTCTGTGATTCGCAAAGTACGAATTGTTTTGGATTCTACGCACCAAAATTAATATGAAAAAGTGTTTTCCCGAGAAATTTTGGTGTAGTCGATGTTTGGTAAAAAAGGAAGGTTATACTCTGCCTTTTTCTGAGGCTCGAAAAAAAATTTTTCTCAGATCGACTCCTGAAAAAAATTTTTCTGATAGAATGTGGCCTGTAAATCCATAATTTCAAACAGTTCCAAGATTGGGCTACTGATTCAAAAGTTACAGCTCTTTGAATTTTCTTTCGAAATTGGTTTCTAAGAAGTCCATAACTTTTGATTGAGAAGTCTAATCGAAAAAGTACGAATTGCTTTGGATTCTACGCACCAAAATTAATAAGAAAAAGTGTTTTCCCGAGAAATTTTGGTGTATTCGATTTTTAGTAAAAAAGGAAGGTTATACTCTGCCTTTTTCTGAGGCTCGAAAAAGAAATTTTCTCAGATCGACCCTGAAAAAAAATTTTCTTATAGAATGTGGCCTGTAGATCCATAATTTCAAACAGTTCCAAGATTGGGCTACTGATTCAAAAGTTACAGCTCTTTGAATTTTCTTTCGAAATTGGTTTCTAGTCCATTAACTTTGATTGAGAAGTCTATACGAAAAAGTACGAATTACTTTGGATTCTACGCATCAAAATTAATAAGAAAAAGTGTTTTCCCGAGAAATTTTGGTGTAGTCGATGTTTGGAAAAAAGGAAGGTTATACTCTGCCTTTTTCTGAGGCTCGATAAAAAAATTGTCTCAGATCGACCCTGAAAAAAAATTTTCTTATACCGGGTGATTCATTAGAAGTGAGGACAATTTGAATTTCCCGCAAATCAAAGAAATTATGAAGTTGGTACTAACTGATGATCATTTATTTAATTGCAGTGGTGTATCATCATGCGTTCAGTAAATCGTTTACTTATTTATAATCTTCAAGTACTGCTTCTGTTTTACCACAAATTATAAACTAACACTAGACACAGTCACGTTTCTTACATATTTTAGTGCATCAACTCCAAAAATTGTTCAAAATGGAAAAAGTAATAAACCGCAAATGGCACACAACAATTAACGGCGACATTGGTTTCTTAAATGACAGTCATGACAGAACAAAATTACTAAAGAAATTCAAACCGTCAATCTAACAATGCCAAAAATACTAAAACCTTACGCGCGAAATTCAAGCGATCATCACTTCTAATGAATCACCCGGTAGAATGTGGCCTGTAGAATCCATAATTTCAAACAGTTCCAAGATTGGGCTACTAGTTCAAAAGTTACAACCCTTTGAATTTTCTTCTGTACAATCAGGCACTGCCCTGCACTTTCCATGGCCGTTATCGAATGCTTGTACGCCAACCATGGCTCAAGAAGAACGCCAAAATTCGCGGTTTTTTAGGTTGATATTTATATTATTCTCCGACATATTCTTACAAAGCACTCCCACGACTCCATATTCCATAACAAGTTAGTTACGATAAAACAAAAAAAACAATAAACAAGTGTGGGGGTGCACTAGTGATTAAGTGGTAACCGGGAACCCGGGCCCAAATGAAATATCGGTTCCGGTTCTGTTTATGTTAAAGCGACAATATTTATAACAGTTCCGGTTCGGTTTCGGTTCTGCGCATTGTTAACGGTTAATTTCAGTTCTAGTGTTTTAGAAAGTAGGACATTCAAAAAATTCATTGCAACAACGTGATTTCTCCTCCTCCTCCTCCTCTCCTGGCGCTGATGGCATTGCTCCTCATATACTTAAACAAGCAAAAGAACCTCTTACGAAGATAGTAACTCATCTTATCAACGCATCGTTTGCGTCTGGAATTTTTCCAATGTGTCTAAAACAGTCCGTCATAATCCCTATTTTTAAAAAAGGAGACGCCTCTAGCATTTCTAATTATAGACCGATTGCTCTTAGTTCTTGCATCGGGAAACTACTGGAGCATGCTATGCTACAACGAATATCAGCATATTTCGATAAACACGAATTAATCTCCGATAAACAGCATGGGTTTAGATTAGGAATGTCAACCATTACGGCGAACTTGGAACTTTACAACAATATAGTTATCGACCTAGAAAATAAAACAGCTCCTGTAGGAATCTTTTACGACCTTAGCAGAGCGTTCGACTGCGTTAACCACGATCTCTTAACTTTAAAACTGAAAAAGTATGGTATTAGAGGAATCCCGCTTCATTGGTTCGCCTCCTACTTCTCTGGGAGATCTCAATTCGTACGAATATCACATTTCTCTAAGGACTCACGAGTAAATTATCACTCCAAAGAGCTACCTATCAGAATTGGAGTACCACAAGGAGCGATCCTATATCCTTTCCTATTCTCGTTGTATATTAATGATCTAATTACATACCTTCCCACCAACGCAGTCACTCTTTACGCAGATGACACGACCGTTCTCGTCAGTAGCAGCCAAAGCAACATTGAAAAGGACTCTAATTCCATCTCAAACGCCATGTTCCAATGGTGTACAGGAAATCAACTAATCTTAAATAGAGAAAAAACGAAATATACACGCTTTCATTTCTCAACATCACATCAGAGTGTTCAACAATTATCCCTGAATATTGCAGGGTCACGAATCGAATACCAGGAAAACATTAAAATTCGAGGCATCACTTTCTCCTATGATCTCAAATGGAAGTTGCAGATTGAAGCTATCAGTCGAACTATCTCCAAATCTATTTATAAGCTCCGATTCCTCAGAGACGCAGTTGGCATCCCGGCACTAAAAGCTGTTTACACTGCAGATGTTGAATCCCGATTGCGTTATGGTATTATCATTTGGGGACCCAGTCCTCATGTTCATCGGGCTCTACTTTACCAAAAACGTGCGATCAGAGCGATCTTCAAGGTGGCAAGTCGTACCTAATGCAGACATCTGTTTGTCGATCTAGGCGTTCTGACTGTCATCTCTGTATATCCTTGAAGTCGCTACATATGTACATAAACGCAAAAGAAATTTGATTCTTGAAAACAACGCAGTACATAAATATAATACAAGATGTAACAATGTAAGACCCCCTCTACATAGACTTGCTCTCACCGCTAACAGCACGCGCTGCATGCCGATTAAAGTATATAATCACCTACCCGCTACATTTAAGATCCATCACGTCAATCTTTTTAAGAAGAAGGTCAAGAATATATTAATGTCTAAACCATACTACAGTTTGATTGAATTTTTCGAAGACTCTTTTTAATTTCCAAACATTGTTTTTTTTTTGCTTTGATATTATTGTGACGATCCTGTGACGCATTATATTTGTCTTTGTAGGGAATAAAGTTATTATTATTATTATGGTCGGTGTTTCTTGTGAGAACTCAGGTCTAGCCTGGTTAACTAATCGCACGGATTAAAATCAAGTGACGATTAGTGTCTGTGTCTGTCTGGTGAAGTTATGTAGGGTCCTTAAAAGAAAAAATCACACACGTACATTGGACATCTAGGGATAGTATGTAATTCGTACTTACCAACATACCTATTGATGGGCACAATAGCCAACGCTATCAGGAAAGAGGAAAACAAAACAAAACAAAACAAAATCATTATAATAATTCCTGTAATTTTATTAAATGGAGTTTATTGTGTAAGTGTTTCTTTGGCTTTGCGTTTGGGTTGAATACGAGTGGGTTGTGATAACGTGGTGTGTTTCTGTGAAGAAGGAGTTTTTTATTATTATTATTATTATTATTTGTCAATTAATAGGCGTGAAAAAGAAGTAAAAAGTCATGGATACCAAAACGTGATGTATCGTTAGAGTAGCTTATTTACAACGACAAGGCGAATAAAGGAGGAAGAGGGAAATATGTATTTAAACTTACTTTATTAATAAAAAAACAGAAAAAATACAAAAAAGCTTATGTAAAAAAATGAAGTACGGAGTACTATTGTTTATTGCGGGTGTTAGCCGAATACCACAAGTTTAAAAGCAACCAATTATTTTTTTTTAATCAGACACAAGCAGTGGCATTTCCTGTTCAAGTTTTTATCCAATCACATTCCAAGGTATTTTCTTGGCGACTGTTTTTGGCTCTATTAACAACAGGAAGAAGAGATAATCGGTCGTGGAAGAAGTGGAAGAAAATGAAATCCAGTACGTCTTACTATTATTTCAATTACCTTACTTTATTTTATTTATTTACCGCATCAACCACTGAGGTTTATTAGCGAGAGTTTATTTACAATACTGTTGCAAGATTACATGTAAGTATAGATTTTTTTAAATTTAATGGTGTCTTGTAATACACTGTCATATTTAGAGACTAAGGCGTCTTTTATTCGGACTGGTACTTGTGTTGTGGTGGACTGTAAGTAGGTCATTCGGATATGCCTACTTGATATTAATATCATAATTTCGGTGGTTCTTCTTTGGTAATTAGGTGCAGATGTGATGTCAGATGGGAAGGCGGTTAATAATGATTTGGTTTTTCCTCGAATTCATTCCTTATGTTTTAAAGCTAAGTTTTCTCCCTTCCTTTTTCTGTATAATCATCCTAACCAAGCTATTAGTTCTAATTGTTAGATCTATCGCATGATTAATAATATTGTCACCTTGAATTAACTTTACTTCGCCACATACATCCATTGGCGTTAAAAGGTTGACCTCTGTTATTTGAGAAGGCTTTGGTTATTCCTGCCAAAGCTTCTATTCATAGTCCGGCTTCTCCATGATGGACCTTTAAGACTACGCTAACTACATATATTATATACCATATTCCAGTTTCATGCATTTATTCTTAATTTTAAAGGTAAGATCTCGTTGGTTGATCAAAAACATTACCAATTTGTTATCTATTAATTGCCATAGTTATTATTGTAAGCGTAAGTTTTCCGATTTGGAGGAGATTTAATTCAAATTCTTTCTAAACCAGTTTCACTCAGCCCCATCTCATAGATTTTAGCATCTGCTTCTAAAGGAGACTG